AATCACAAAATTTAGAATTTGTTATATCAAACTTATTTATTCTTAAATATGAAATAATTTTGGATCTCACATCCTCACCATCTAATATACTGCTTCCAATTAAATGTTGCCCACGTCTATATTTAGGAACATCACCATATTCTAAAAAAGTCTTTGACCAGCTTCTTATACATCTTGAAAACCACTTGCCTTTCTTCATAAGATCAGAAACTATTTCACTGGCTTCAATTTTTGCATACCCTTTATTTCTTAAACTAAGGTATTTTTGAACAGCTTTCAAACATACTCTATATCCTGGAGACAATTTTCTGCACTTAATTTTAATTCAATTTTGTTTATAGCTAAGCTTGAGTAATTTTCCTTTTCATGATTAACTTCATCATCAACTGTATTATTAAAAGAAAAGAAACTATCTAATGTTTGTCCATTTTTTCAGCATTTTTCTTTTCTTCAATTTTTTTTCTGTATTTAGTTGTTCTAGAACTACCTAAATAAACCATAGGGTGATTAGATGATGATGATGATGATGATATCATATTTTCTATATTATTTGACAAAACATCATAAAGGGACTCAGCATTTTTTTCAATTTCATTATCAAACCACTCAAAATCCATCAATTTCAATTTCTAAATATCATCCAACTTCATTACTTGAATCTCCTTCAACCACATTATTTGATAATTCCTCAACACCTAAATTCTCTACATCATTATCATTATTGAAAGCTTCAATATTTACTAAATTATTTTTATTTGATGTTTAGATTTTCTTAGCAGCTGCAAGTTCTTTACATAATTTGATTTTTCTTTTAAGTTTTGGCATTGCTTTGTATATATATAAAAAAATAAGAAGGTTTATTATTTATTGAAGAATGTACAAACTTTAATTTACATGATTTAAATTTACTCAATTTTTATAGGTCACATGTTGTGACCGGAATTAGAAAATTTTGCCATATATAACATAAGTTGGGCCAAAACTATATGTTTCAAATTTGGAAAATTTTATATGTAACATATAAAAATCACATGATTTGTAAAAGCTAATAACTCCAGAACCAATAATTTTTTAAAAAATATCTAGACGATAGATTGTAGAACTAGTCAAAAGCTATCAAATATCGTCTCTAATTTTTTCAGACAAGCACACAATATTTTCTTTATAGGTTTTAAAGTTGGTCAATTTTTATTTGATATGTTAGTGTGACCCGCACTATACATTCTATTTTTAAATTTTGTGTTCCATTAAAAAATCCGAAATTTATTAATGTGACCGTTTAAGGGATAATATGCAAGATCTTGGTGATACAAATGTGACAAACAAATTTTGTGCTAAAAAAATTTTTTGAATATAAATATAGCAATAATTATCAATCCAAAAATTTTTTTTTCATCTCACTTATTTACGAACATTTATAATTCTTGTTCTTTTCAATACATAAAAAGAATGAGCCAGACGATGTTCAATATAAAATATCTTTGGTGTTCAAAAGTAAAACCTCACTTTGAATTATTTCAATAAATTGAAAAGTGATGACCATATGACCCAAACATCCTTTATAATTTTTTTTAAAGAGTAAAAATTTGTAAATTTTGAATCTTTGGTATGAAATAATAATATTTTATAATAACAATAATATTTATATCATGTCTTCTCGAACCTTGCTATAAATAATGTTCAACGTCTTGCTTGAGCTTTGAATTTAATAAAACAATAAGAAGTGGTTATATGATCACGTTTTTAACCAATCAAATCTAGTAATTCATAAATTGAAAATTTTTTTTTTGAAAAAATCATTTTTTCTTTTTCTTAAATATGGATGTTGAGACTGTTCCCTCAATTACTCAAGTTGAACAAGTATAGTATTTACTCAAAATTGTTTTAAAGTGATAAATAAAAAGTTGATTATTGCTTATTCAATGAAAATATATTTAAAAAATAAAGATAATAGACCAACTCTATGGAAGTTTTGATCCTCAATATCAGAAATCTGCACAAGAATATTTACATAACCTTCAAAAACAACAACACGCCTGGGAATTAGCATCTCAGTTATTAGCTTCCCAGGTTAATTTTTATTAATTAATCTGGTGAATTGCCTTTTTTGAAATGTGAATTAATTGTACTTGCATTTTTATTTAGTCTGTAAATTCTCGATTCTTTGGAGCTCATACCCTTCAAATAAAACTTTCTAGAGACTGGTAAGCATTAAACATTTTTTATTACCAATTATTTGATCAATCAATCAGTTATTAATTGAGAGTCTATAAAATGAAGGAATACTTTATCACCAGAAAAAAGAGAATGGATTCATAAAATATTACTTGGATGGATTGTACATCTTTCTAATGGTCCTAATGTTGTTATTACAAAACTTTGTTTGGCTGTAAGTTTTAAATCAATTATTAATTTATATAATTAATTCCTATACATTACTCTAAAAAAGAAAACTTAAATTCACCAATTATTAAATTTCTTAAAAATTATTTACCATTAAAAAAAAAAAAAAAGCTCACTGCATTTGCTCTCCAAGCTGTACCTGACATTTGGCCAAATTTTATACCTAATTTTTTTGAAATTTTACAATCGAGCGCTGTAGCTGCCACTTCTTCACAAAACGAAGGCGTGACTTTATTTGTTGAAATACCATTATTGGAATTCTTGACAGTTGTACCCGAAGAAGTTTCAAGGGCTGATTTAATTGGTGATCGAAAGTAATTATTAGCTCTTTCATAACATTTTATATATTAATAACTTTGCACATTTATTAAAAATTTTGATTTTTATTCCTAAAAGAGCCAAGGTCAATCAAGAGCTTATTAATTCTATACCAATTGTTCTTTCAACTTTGAGAAATTTGTTGGCAGATTATCATGGAGATCCTGATCGAATGTTACTGTTGAAACAAAAAAGCATACGATGTTTACAAAGTTGGATTATTTACGGCGTTCCATTTGAGTAAGTTGAATTTGTATTATTATCAGTTAGTTATAATATTTCAGGTTACTCATATATTCATTCATACCCATTGTGTTATAACTTTATAAAGATCATTGCTTCCATTAATTGATAATGTAATTAACCTTCTTCCAATCGAATCAACAAATGACTTAGCAACAGAAGTTTTGGTTGAATTTATGTTACAACCACATAGCAGATCATATCAGAATACTGTATGTGAAAAAATGCTTTGTTGCATGACAAGTGATTGGGCAAAGTCTCAAATAACTAAATCAATAAATGGTAATGTCAAGAAAAATAAAAAAAGAGATCTTTTGTTTTTTTTTATTAGCTCAAATTAATAATTTTTATTAGGAATCGGTGTAGATTAATTTCCAACAATAATAAATAATTATAAATATAAATAAAAACTCCTTATCAATAAATAAATTAGAATCTGATGAAGCTTCAGCAAGAAATCTTTGTCGAATAATGACAACATTTGGTGAAAATTTTACTGATTATATTGCCATTCATTTTTTACGTGAAGATGTTATTATTTATTTGGAAATGATGTTGATGTTTGCTGGATTTCCTGGATATTTTGGTTCAGATCAAGAAATATCCTTTTTAAAATAACAATTTTTTATTACTTTTAATTTGGTTTTCAAAAAAAAAAAACTTCCTCCCAAATTCAAAATTTGGATCCTTAATAAATATTATTTTAAACATTAGTGAACTGCCATTACAGTTTTGGTATCTTTTACAAGAATCATTATTTGATTCTGATGTTATCCCAATTCAAATTAATAAAATCATTGAAGATGAGGAAGAAAATGAATTTAATTCTTCCGCTGCCACCAAACAAAACCTTTCAACAAATACTATGGGCATTGAGCAAGCTCAAAAAATACACGAAGCTTCTTTGGTTGTTTACCAACGATTGATTGAAGTATTAAAAATGAAAGTTCAATATCCTCCAGATTTAGAATGGGTTGAGTGGGTTAAAGGTATTTTATGTATAGAATAAGGATTGATTGAATATATTTACATTTAAGGTCGAAAATTATTAATGAATTTCACGTGAAAATAGATATGAAAGAAAGATTTAAAAATTATCGTAGAGATGTTGGTGATACCATTATGAATTCTTATTATATATTAAGAGGAAGAATGCTTGCATATTTAATTGATCTGTTAATTAATCAGTTGAATACAACCGGAAGGGATATTACTCAATGGCAGGTACTAAAAACAATTAAACAATGCACTATTTCAAAAATAAAAATTTTCATATTACCTGTAAAGTATTAATGTTAATATATTTATAAATTTTTATAGGAAATAGAAGCGGCATTATTTTGCTTAAAATCTATTTCAGAAGTTGTTGAACATGATGAAAATGTTTATTTACTGCGTCTATTTAATACAGATGTTTTTGGTAATTTACCTATACAAACAAATGCAAGAATAAGAAATACCGCCTTATCTCTGATTGGTAATTTAGCATTTTTATAATTATCTGTAAATTCATGTAATTTATTTAATTTATGAAACTCATATTATTATAATCATTTCCAAAAGGCTCTTACGCAGAATGGTTTAAAGTTCATTCTCAATACATATTACCAGCTCTTAATTACTTGGTACCAGCATTGAGTGATTCTGACTCAGCATTTACCGCTGCTAATTCTTTTAAAGAAATTTGTGACACATGTCGTAATTCTTTGGTTGATGGCATTGATAATTTAATTAATATGTATGTAGTGGTCGGAGCTCATATACAAGTATGTAAAAGGTTTTTATAAAATTGTGTATATATATATATATTTATATGATACAAGTTTATTTATATTCTTTATTTTTTATTTTTAGCCTAGAGATAAACAAAAAATTATCGAGTCAATAGCAGATGTTATTCAAATATTGCCACCTGAGAAAATGATCCAATCAATATTGGCAAGCTTACATATATTATTTGTATATATCAATTATCATCAATTATTATTAATTGTTTGTTATTATTAATTATTAATTATCAGACAATTACAAGTGACATTATTAAAACAACAAAAGAAATTATATTACATGCCAAACAAGTATGTAAATTTTTATTTTATGAATTTAAATAATTACTTTTTTTAATATATAATGACTATTTTACTACAAATATAACAAAAAAAAATCAAAATCAAATAAAATCTATAAAAGAATCCATCACAATTTCATGACATTATTATAACTCAATTAGAATATTTGACAGCATGTGGTCGTGGAATTCAACCTTCTGATGATCATGAAATTATTATAATTGATGATAATGATTCAAAAACCACAAATAGAACTACAGCTTCCTCTGATGTGATAAAATCTAATGATGAGGTTTTAATTTCATTCCAGGCCAAAGGACTTACTGATTCATTTTCAGAAATTGTACAAAATGTCGCAGAAGTTTGGTATAATGATAACGAAGTTATAAATGTATTTATTTATTTATCAAAAAATATATTTACTTTTTTTTAAATAAAATTATATTAATACTATATATATTCTTTTCTTTCTTTATTAAAAGTGTCTTTGTAAATTTCTTAATACCGGAATACGTACAACTTTAAATTTATTTTCAATACCTATCGAAGTAATTGTGCCGTTAATTCAATTATCATATCAAAGATATCCACATTGTTATTGGTTGGATACAGCAGTTCAAACTGTAACAGTTTATGGAGTTTCATTTGAGTACGAGTCAGCATTAAGCAAATTATTATTATCTATTACAACCACAACTTTTCAATTTGTTAAAAACAAAGCTGGTAAATTCTGGTGCTATTAACGACAATGGAATTATTTTATTTATTTAAATATTTATTAAAATTTATATTTTAGACATGGAAAATTACCCGGATATGGTACATTCGTTCTTTGAGCTTTTGACAAAGGTATTATAAAAATCTTTTTTTTTTTTTCTGATATTAAATTTCTTGTGTATTATGATTCACAATTAATAATAAATAAACTTTTTTATTTAGTATCTTACAAAATGCCCTATTGCATTATATACGTTACCATCAGAAATATTTGACAATATTTTAAAATTCTCTGTGGCTGGTTTAGGATTACAAGAAAGACTCGCTTTAAGATCTGCAGTCGCTTTTATGGTAAGCTCTAATTTTCTGTATATATATATATATATATACAAGGGGTCTAATATTTAAAAAAGTATTATAAAAATTATTTACAAATATTTGATTTGGATTTAATTATTAGGGAGAATTTATAGGACAACATTACAAAGATGATAGAATTACAAATATGGTAGAAAATATAATTAGAACTTATGGTTTAGAAATTACGAGAGAATTGTTATTTGTAAGATCAATTATAATTTTTCTAATAAATATATTTGATAATAGTTTTTAAAATAATTTTTAATATTAACTTTTTTATTTCTTAATTATAAAAATTTGTTAGGGAATTGGTGGGAATTTACCAAGATCATTAATTCCACAATTATCAACTGTATTATTTAAAATTACAGGTCGTTATATTGAAAATAGTAGAGAATGGTTGAATATATTGTTATCACAAGTAATTTTCTTATTCATATAATAATTGATTGATACTATAATTAATTGATTAATAACCTGTTTATCATTTCTTGTTTATTTGTTTGTAAAAAGGAAAACTTTCCATCTAAAAATGTTAATCAAGTTACTAAACAAAATTTCGCTAAAGCAATTTTAGGGTATGTGTATTTTACCTTCATTATCATTAATGTTTTGATCCTGATTATCATTTGATTATAGGAAAAAAACTAAATTTATAATTTTCTTCCTTCAAATAAAATCAAAGTACAAGATCTTCTCAAAAATTTAAAGGAATAGTAACCGAATTTTCTATAAAATGTAGAGGTTTGGAAGATTCTGCTTACGGGCTCATATAATTAAACTTAAAATTTTTTTTAAAAAAAAGAACGACTAATTAACAAAAAAAAAGGAATTATTATAATTATCTTTTATTATTATTATTGTAGTCTGATCAAAATATTAATTAGTTTGTGCTTGTTTTCCTTTTCCTTCAAAACTATTACCAATAATTCGTTCATAATGATCAATTAATTTTTTTTAATAATATTGATTATTATTATTATTATTTGCATATTTCTAGACATCTACAAACAATAAAATAATAAGTCAAAATAAATAATATTAAATTAAAAAAAAAGTTCTTGATAACGATGATGTTTGTTGTTTGTTGATAATTAATTCAATTCAATTCATTTATTTATCAAAATCTTTCTTCGGAAGTCGAACAAGTGCTCTTAAAAGAAATCAAAAGGCTAGAGCAAGGGTTAGCTGGACAGGAACATTATGGCTAAATAGGCATGATTGCTTATTTTCCCCAAACCTCTCCAAAACACTCCACCCACCACAATAGAGGGAAAATCAATCAAAACCACAATAAAAATACTAATATCATGTATATTTGTAGTATTCAGGGCAATAAGTCAATAACTTTTCTTTTCAACTCTCCCGTAAAAATGCACCAAAGAGGGTTGGTAAAAACTGCTTATCCACAAGTCCAGTTATTTAGTTTTTTTTTTCATTACTAAATATAACATATCAATCTGTCCACACACACACACACACACACACACTAATCCACCACAAATTTATCCATCATAAATTTTCTCCTCTTTCATATTTATCAAAACTCGCCATGCATTTAACAGTGTATGTGAAATTTACGCGATTAAATGATCAATTAGTCAATAAAATTGATTGCGTGTAAAGTATCTTTCACAAATACACAATCAGATATATAAAATAAATTATTTCACTTTTTTATTATTTACAAAAAAATAAATAAATTCTTTTAGCAAAATAATTTTAAAAATTATTTGCAATCTCCCTCTGTTGACTGTGGCTCAACCAATTTCTTGTGTAAATGTGAAAGATTCTGGTATGAATTCACTCAGGAACTCGCAAGCTGGTGTTGGTTATTCTTAAAAACTAATAATGAATTGCTATCCTCAAGTCGATGGGTGACTCTTTAAAAAATCTAGTTCTTGATTCATGGGTTATAGTTAACTCAGCTAAACCAACATCTAGAGATTTAAATAATCTTCACCTTTTGCCAGATGGAATATAGAAAGAAGATGTAAATTTTTTTATATAAATGGGGGTTCAACTTCATCGCCATCATCTTTTATAGATGTATGCGCAATTTTTTTTTCTTCTGAAAAAATCTCCAGCAATGAAAACACTTAAAATCAGACTTTATGCTGCGTACTGAATGCACAACCAATGTGTAGTTGCAATCAATAGAAAAAATCTACGAAAAAATTATATCATTGGGTCTAGGAAAGTTACATCTGATGACTCTAACATCAAATGGGACCTCATTGTATCAGAGATGCATATTCATTGAGTGGACTTTTAAATCAAACATTTCTGCAAAAAAGAAAAACTTTAAATTAAAATTTAAACCAAAAAAAAAAACAGGATGGGAGAGAAAAAGAGGCGAATTTTCATTCCTCAATAATATTAAATCAAGTGAATCATGAATTTCGTCTTATCATTCACTAATCATCATCGTAGTGAATTTTACTTACGAATCCCTATATATACTACTTGAAATTAAGGCTGATAACTAAGCTCCTAAATTTTCAGCAGTTGAAGATAAAGCTCCGAACGAGCCAGCTCGCATACAGAAAAGTGTTGGCTCTAACTCGGTTCGAGCTCGAAAACTCGAACCAAGCTCGAGCCAGCTCGAAATTTGATACTATTTTTTTATAAAATCACGATTTTGCAAATCACCGAAAATAATCGGTAACTAAAAAATTCCGAAAATTTTAAAAAATTCAAATGAGAGATTCCATGTTTTAACAATATTTGTACTTCTAATAAAAAACGTTTTTAGGTTCTGACATATATGCATGCAGTCAAAAAAACCTTTGTTTTAACAAATTATAATTAAAGCGAATCATAATTAAACTCATTTTTATTCGTTTTATTCATTTGTTCGTTTTGTTCCTTTTGTTCGTTTTTATTCCTTTTGTTCGTTTTGTTCGTTTTTACTCGTTTTACTCGTTTTGTTTGTTTTGTCCATTTTGTCCGTTTGTTCGTTTTGTTCGTTTTTACTCGTTTTATTCGTTTTGTCCGTTTTGTCCGTTTTGTTCGTTTTATTCTTTTGTTCGTTTTTTTTCCTTATGTTCGTTTTGTTCGTTTTTATTTGTTTTTATTCGTTTAATTCGCTTTGTTCCTTTGGTTGGACCGTGGTAAGTGCAATCTTCCATCATCATCTTTACACAATTTTCTATGATTGTTCTCAATGAGTGTTTTACAAAAGAAAAATTTTTTTTATTTAATATTATTTAAAAGGCGCGTGAACATTTACTTACACTTTCTCCACAAAATCGCGAGACATTAAATTTGATCGAAAGTGCATTATTCGTTGTTAATTTAGATGATTATTCGTCCGGTGACAATCTAGATCAATTTCTTGGAAACATATTCCATGGAAATGGCTATAATCGTTGGTTTGACAAGTCAATGTCTATAATAGTGGAAAGTAATGTAGGGGCAGGTATGCACGGTGAGGTATGAATATGCTATCTGACTACCCATTTATTTATTTATATTAACTTAAAAGTTAATTCCTTTCTTTCAATATATTTATAGCATTCTCCAGTTACTGTATTACACTCTTCAGAATATGGTACACATTTTATAATCACTACTTGTTTTTAATATTATTTTGATTGATTGATATATTATTTTTTTGATTATTATACAAAAAAATTCTTATTCTTTTATAATTATTTTATCCCTACAATTATTAATATAAGCCAAGTGTCCTCCGAATGCATATATTCAAATGGTTATTCAATTAGCATATTACAAACTTCACAGAAAAGTCGTCCCGACTTATGAAACAGGTTCAACTCGACAATTTAGTCATGGCTGTACTGAGACCATAAGAACATTGAGTGCGGAGAGTAAGGCTTTTGTTGAAGAAATGGAAAACAATTCTTTATCAATCATTCACACATACGTTTAAAATAGGGAGTGTATGGATCAAGAGAAATCTTTCAACTATTGAGTTTATAGATTGGTTCAAAAAAAAATTTTTCTAATGCTTTGTCTCGAATGCATAGGGATCAAGATGCTCTAGTCTATTACATGACTGTGCTATTTCTCTTACAGCAATGCCAGTAATATTACAGTATCAAGGCATGAATAAGCGAACTCAATGAGTGCAGTCTGTATTGCTGAAATCTCTCTCTGCCTATTTTTGGAGAAAACCGTCTAATATCAATCTACTCTATATATACCAACCAATTGATCAATCAATTGGCAGCTTCGATTGGTTAGATTAGTTTTTTTAATTGGTTAGTTGCTCTATTTATTTTAATAACACAAGCATACATTTAATACATGTCCAGCAATTATAAATACCCTTTTAACAAAGGCAAAGATACATTGTATTCATTACTGATACATTTCACTATACAAAGTACTTTGGATCTGACATAGTTGATTATTTTCAAAATATTTACAAGTTATTGTACCAATTATTTTTTTTGTTTTGAATTCAGTATAACTGATAATCTTTATTGATACTATGATGCGAGATCATTTGCTAGAAATTGCAAAATCTTAATTTGAAAAAATACTGATCCAAAAAAAATAACTTGTAATAGGTTGTGCTGTTGATGCCTCGTTAATAACATAAATGTTATTATTTTTCCAAAGGGAATCTAGGAAAGCAATAAAGAATATATGTGAATTATCTGTATATTTATGCAAATTCATCCAGGCTATAGTTTTCCGGATATTATAAAAATAAAATCATGAATTGAAGAACAAATTGTATTAGTATGCAAATAATATCAATCAAACAATGGGAAATTTTTTCCTCTAATTAGGTAATAAGGGTGAAGGAAGGAAATGGTATTTATTAATGTACAATAACAATTTCTATCAAGAATAGCTTTTAATGCTTTTTTAAAAAACTGAAAATATTTATTTGTTGAGAATAGTACATTTTTCTGTGATAGCTCAATTGTCATATTTAAGCCTTCACTACAATATAATAATAATTAAAGGAAGATCATTTCATTTTTTTAATAATTCAGTAAATGATGTGAATGTTGTATCTTGGGAATTTGGAAAAAAAGAAACATGTCTTATTGAGCTAACTTTTCTTCAAGCTAAGGTTATTTGCAGAATCAAAACACCATTCACCCGGAAAGAAAAGGGAGATTATTAGTAGTTATATCTCAGAGAATGGTGACTTAGTGACCTTCAATGCACTACCTGGGTGACTAGAGCTGCGGGCCCAATTTTAAGTTTAAAAAGATGTCTTATATTTGACACTTTCCCCACAATGGATTAAAGTCAGTACATTAATATACTAATACTCGGAAAGTTCTCAGGTATATGTTACATGTAAATGCTAATGTTACATATGGGGCATACTGCAACAAAACCAGACAAAGTGAACATTGGTATTACAAAGGATTTCGGGGATCAATAGTGTTTGTTTAATATCACA